CCTCTGAGCTGTCTCCCTGGTGTAACTGCTGCCCTTCTGATCTCCCATGGTTGACTTTTACCTGATGTAATTGTTCCCTATGTGGCCTATCCTTTGGCTGGAAGGATACACAAGAGTGAGTCATTTCCAGGCCTGAAGGGTGATGAGGTGCCATACTCTTCTGGGTTTTCACCAGTCCCTATCAGACTAGTAAGCCTGGTCTTTTTTTATGACTTTGAGTTGTTATCCACATTTCTCTCCCACTTTATCCAGGATCTCCTATTTTGATCCCTTTCCAAGTGGTAGCAAGGCACCATGTAGTTTTTCTGATCTCAGGGTCATGTAGTCTGAGGTTCCCGTGGTCCACTAGTTCCTTGGACTAATTGTTTCCATGGGGCTTTGATTTTCTTCACTCTTTGCTCTGGACAAAGAGAAACCAATTGCTTTGCAAGCTTTCAAGACCCTAATTGCTACTCATCAAAGTGGGATGTAGAACATTGTTTTTGTATAGAATGTTATGCCTATTGAGTTTGATGTCCCCCACGACAATGGTCCTGAGCATGCAGGCCCAGTGACTCACTCCCTCAAGGTGTTTGGCTGTGGCTAACAAATTAGCGTAACTTTGCCGCATCCTACCAAAAAACCCAAACTCATTGCCATCGAGTCATTTCTGACTCATGGTGACCTGCTTTGGCTTTCTGAGGTGGTAAATCGTTATGGAAGTAGATTGTCCTGCATGCCTTCTGTGGAGTGGCTAGTGGGTTTGAACTTACAACCTTCTGGTTAACAGTCCAGATGCCTTAGGCACTACGCCACCAGAGCTTTATTATATATATGGACATACTTAAAGCACATACAGATACGTATGTAGAAATACCATCTGCCAGTCTTATAAATGGTCATGGGTATATTTCCTTTTGGCTAACTAGTCCTGATCATTTTGCCTGTCTACCTATATTTCTACCTGTAGATTAATGTTTGTTATTACTGATAATGCAGTATCGTGTATATAAAAGTATTTACCTTTGTTCTTTGTACCTCTTGTGCCCCTCTCCTTCTCTTCCTTTTCCTTAGTATTGTTGTGCTGGTCACTCACTTTTGATACATTACCTCTCCCTTCACCCAAATCAATATTTGTCTCTTACCTGAGGAATTTTCTTTCCCTATCCCTGGTAACCAACAAAGAAAGTTTCCTTCCATGTATAAACCTTTCCTTGACTTTTTACAATAGTGTACGCATAACTATTTATCTTTCTGTGATTGACATTCAGCATAATGTCTTCCAAGTTCATCCATGTTATGACATGTTTGACATATTCTTCATTATTTTTTAGAGCTGTGTAGTATTCCATTGTTTACATGGCTTTTTATATCTACCCACTTATGTACCATTTCTGGCGCTCTTCTCTCTTGCCTATAATGTCATTTCCTTTTATCCTGAAGTACTTTTTTTTATTGTTGTTTTGTTTTTCTTTAATATTTCTTGTTTACTAGTTTGCCAGTAAAAAAAAAAAAAAAATCTCTCAGTCTTTGTTCACCTGTGAATGTCTTTGTTTCTCCTTTAGTTTGGAAGGATAGTTTTCATGGGATAAGAATTCTTGCTAAATAGTTTTTTCCTTTCAACACATTGACTGCACTCTACTGCCTTCTGACTTTGCTTGTTTCTGATGAGAAGTTACCCATGAATTGCATTGTTGTTTCTTATATGTGCCAGGTCATTTTTGTCTTGTTGCTTTCAATATTCTTTACCCTTGGATTTCAAAAGTTTATTATGTGTTTAGGTGTACTACTCTGTATTTATCCTACTTAATGTTCATTAAGCCTTTTGGTTTTGTAGATTAATTTTTTCATTAAATTTGGGAGGTTTTTGATCGTTAGTTCTTAAAATATTTTTCCTTCTATTTTCTCTTTCCTTCCTTCTGGTACTCTCATTATAAGTATATTGATACACTTGACATCTTACAGTTTTCTGAGGCTCTGTTCATTTTATTCAGTCATTTTTCTCTCGGCTCTTTGGATTGGATACTTTCTCTTGATCTGTGTTCAGTAGATCAGAGTACAGATTTGCTACAATATATTAAGTTTTCCTGTATCCTTATTTTGCAGCCTCAAATCTGCTGTTGAGCTCCTCTAGTGAGTTTTTCATATGTTCTTTAACTTTAGAGTTTCCATTTGTTTCTTTTGTATATTTTCATTTCTATTGAGATTCCTTATTGAGTCATTATCATCATATTTTCCTACTTCTTTGAACATGTTTATATCTACTTTTGAAGTCTTTGCTAAATCTAATATCCCTGTCTATTTCTATTTACTATACTTTTTTTCTACTTCTTTATATGTCTTATAATTTTTGTATTCAATATTCTTTTTTTTTTTTAATTAGGATTTGGGTGAAGATTTACAGAGTAAATTCACTTTTCATACAGCAGTTCACATATACTTTGTCTCATGTCATTGACCAAAATTTACAATGCAGCAGCTCCCCTCCCACTTCCTCCCCATAGTTACCTCCTCCCAGTGTCCATCCCTTCATACTCTTCTGCACCCTGAGCTATCTCCCTGTGCATAAGCAGCCCTTCCTTCTCCCATGATTGTTCTCTCCAGGGCGTGTGTCTACTTGAGGTAAATGTTTAACTCACATGCCTGTACTTTGTTTGGCTGGAAACCACAGTTGTGGGTTCAATTCCAGACCTCAAGGGCAGCTAGGGCCATAGTCTCAGTGGTTACACCAGGCTCCATTGGACCAGCAAACCTGGTCCCCACCTCCTTCTTATATGTCTTACAATTTTTGTTTAAAATACATTTTATATAAAGTAACAGCTCTTTTTTTTTTTTTTTTTTTTGACAGTTATTGGGTTTGTTTTAGTAACTTGCTAGTAAAACAACTAATGTATCTGCTCAGTTTTGGAGTTTTTTTTTAAGCTTGGCTTCCTAGGGGTCACTCCTGTGTCTGCATAACTTAGTGGTCAGCAAATGATTTGAGAAGAGGTTGTGCCCACATATCTCAAACCTAAAAGACCTCCAGTTGATCTGTGTTTGGGTTGGTGGACACATTCAAAGTTGTTGTAAATTTTCAAATCATCTTTAGCTTTTAATTTTGCCAGATGTTTTTGGCTAATTTCCCAGGTAGCTAAGAATGTATGGAGAGCTTATTTTAGCCCTTTATGGCTCTCTCATTCTAGGATCTCCCTGTTAAGTTTCTCGCTAGTATACTGTGCATCCTAGCCCAGACCACCACCTTGAGCTTACACCAAACCAAAAAAGCCCACCATCATCAAGTCAATTCCGATTCATAGTGACCCTATAAGAACTGGCCCACAAGGTTTCCAAGGCTGTAAATCATTATGGAAGTAGACTGCTTCATCTTTCTCCCATGGAGCAGCTGGTGGGTTTGAACTGCTGACGTTCTGGTTAGCAGCCCAACATTTAACCACAGCAGCACCAGGAACTCCTTAGAGCTTATGGAATTGTGGATTTTTCCTCTTCATTTCTAAATCAAGTTCACCACTTTTAACTGGTAAAGCCACAAGCTTTTACCCATTGACCTACATTGACTCTGCCTCCTCTGACAGAATAACCAGCTCTATTCTATTAAAACTACCACCAACCAAGTTGTTGGTAGGGTGGAGGTAGGAATAGCCTCATACAAAAGGACCACTGATTCCCCCTGGTTTTCAACAGTGAACATTTCTGAATTTGTTGTCTGCACATGGTCAGTTTCCAGTACCTTGAAATGGTTGATTTGAACCCATTTATACTTCTCTTTTGCAGAGATGAATCAGCAACTTCTTCACATTGACATAATCGGAAGTGCCTTTCTCTCTTTATGTTTGTTTGTTCAATTTTATTTATCATTCAGATCTTCTATATCCCTATTTCTTTTTCCCTTAGTCTCCTGCTAGAATTTTGATTTTATAAATAGATCCTTTTACTTTAATTTTCTTCACATTGAATATTTTTGTTTTTTATTAAAATATTATTTATTTTACTTTTTTGTCAAAATAAAATATGCCCATTTGCCTAATTTAGTGTCTTAAATTCTACTGTTTCTATATGTTTCACTCAAAATTCTATTACATTTTTCAGTCATGCTGAATATTTGCATTTTTCTGGTGTTATTTCAGACCGTACTTAACTAACAGTGATACAGTGGGCATCTAGGTAAGATGCCTCCAAGACCACCCTCAGGTTGGATAATTCACTAGATGGATACATGGGATTCTGCATATAGTTACACTCATGGCTAAGATTTATTGCAGTGAAAGGATACAAAAAAAAAATTAGCCAAAGGAAAAGGTACAAGGGGTGAAGGGTGGAGGAAACCAGGCACAAACTTCCAAGAGTCTTCTCCCATAGAGTCACACAGACCATACTAAATTCCTTCAGCAACAAATTGTAACAATGCATGTGAAATACTTTCTACCAAAGAAACTCATTGCAGATACAGTGCCCAGGTTTTTAGTGGGGGCTGATCACATAGGCACCCTTTGCCTAGCACATACCAAAGTTCTAGACTCCTAGAAGGAAAATAGGTGTTTAGAATAAACCAGATTGCACAAACAGTCTCAACACAGTAGACCACCTTTATCAATTAGAATGATGGGAATACTGTTGAAACCCAAGTTTGCAGATGCCAGCTCATGTTCAGTCTTGCAGACAGGCCTTTCTAAGGATAGCAGTTTCAGGCCTGCTGTGTTCATTCTTTTCTGCATAACAGTCCTTGTTATTATCATCATTTTTTTTTTTTAATTGAACTACCAGTGTTTCACTCATGAGTATAATGAAAAAAGTTATTTTACTTGGCGTTTATTTATATAGCAAATTGTTGATAATCATTTGTAGCTTTGTTTCCAAAAATATTGTTTTTTCTCTAAACCTGAAATAGTGTGTGTACTTGCTTTGAAACTATACTGGACAATAATACTGTACTTTCTACTGTTTAAATTACATACTTGGAGCAGTTTTATATTTGAAATCCTTGTATCTCCCAAAGATCATAGTACCTTTGTTTCTTTTCTCAGCACGATTACGTGGTGTTCATGATGGTCTGTTCATTGGACAAATAGATGCTGTGGATACTCTTAATGCTACTTATAGAGTAACTTTTGATAGGACAGGGCTTGGAACCCATACCATCCCTGACTATGAAGTTCTTGTAAGTAGTATTTCATAATACATTTGTGTTTTATGCCTATTAAATATGTTATGTAGAGTTTTCTGGACATTGTATTTTATGACAGAATCAAGACTTCAGGTCATAGGGGAAGAGATCCTTAGGGGTTCCCAGACCTGCCTACTAGACCTCTCAAGCAGAAGTAAAAACTCCCTTCATTCTCAAGCTGAACTTCAAGTCTTCCACATTTTCCAGAAACTTGAAAGGGATGTAGTTTGGATATCTGTGTTGTACCTTACCCACACAGCACTTCAGTATGACAGAACTATCAATCCTGACTAATCTCTAGTTTAAAGTATAGTCCTCTTGTAAATGCTTTTTAAAGTATGAAATAATGTCTTACACTTTCAAATGTGTTCTCTTGGGTTATTTTCCTGAGAGTTCTATAGGGTAGTTGTTAATTACCCTTGCTTTGTATGTGATGAAACTTAGACATAAGTATGGGAAGTTCTTTATTCAAGGCTGTAGAACTGGTTTCCTGCCAGGCTGACACTAGACTCCAGACCTTTTGAATTTCTGGTGCAGTCTGTTACACTATTGAACCACTCTTGATCATGCTTGATTTAGCAGTGTCATGGAGATTGTTAACTTCCTTGTTGTAAACTTGATTTGTAAAGATTATGAACTTAAACATCAAAATTCCTCTTTAGTGTCAAAATAGAGGAATCTTCCTTTTCTGATACATTCTTTTTAAAAACTGACTCTTTGTTTATTTTGAGGGTTTCTTTATCAAATATCCTTTATAAAAAAGAGAAATAACACCAGAACAAAAAAGAAATTAACACCAAATACCAGGCTACAGATAAACACATAAACACCTGAGATGATCAAATGAGGGTCAGTGAACAGAAGTATACTCTAGACCAAGGATAGATTCAACTGAGGCTAATCTTGCACAGACACCAGTGATACAAAATACCTGCAGTCCTTATAGAAACAATAGAAGACAGATGCAGAATAATCCCTCACAGACAACCAGACACTATGGGAGAGAGATCCAATACATCTACCATCTCAGGACCATAGTATTCAGGGACACCAGACTCAACTGACACAACAAAATGCATAAAAGCTTTGCTCCACATTCTACATTGGTAGGTAGCGGCTGGAGTCTTAAAAGCTTTCAAGCGGCCATCTAAGGTACAGCTAACAGTCTCCTAGCATCGGAATCGAAGAACGCAAAAAAAAAAACCCAAAAACACGAGGGCATTTAGAAGCAATCAGCCATAGGACACGATGGCCCTCGAGACCAGAAGAACTAGATGGTGCCCGCCTACCAATGCCAACCACCCAGGAAAGGATCAAATCTAGAGATCCTGGATAGAGTGGGAAGGAAAACGTGGAAAAAAATCCAAAAACTCAATAGTGAATGGTCAGGTGAAATGTGGTGAGACCCCGAATACTGTAGCCCTGGAATACCTTCTGCGCCTGGAATAAAACACACCCCCAGGGGCTGGCTCTCAGCCCAATAGTTAACAAGCGGTACACGCAGACCACTCAATCCAGAATGACGCACCCACATACTCTATGGTAATATATCCCTTAGAGCAATAGATCATGGGACACCACAGGACCAACATTCAAATCGAAGAAATGCAGGACAAACAGGAGTGCATAAATATGAGGGGCACAGGGGGAGGGTTGCAGGGTAGGGAGGGGAAGAGACTGGGTTAGGGTTGAGCATGGTATGTGGGGAATGAAACTTTTAAATGTACACGTTGTGTTGAATGTAAAACAAGCTCTTAAAATAAAATTTTTTTAAAAAAAGAGAAATAGAGGAAGAAAAAGGTTTATATTAAGGCAAAAGTACACCAACCTTAAATTTTAAAATTAAAGGATGAAATATTTAAACCTCTTTCCGAGAGAGATTGCTTTTCTGTTATTAATTTAATTTCCTTTTTGAGAGCACCAAAATATTTTTCCTAACTAGATAAGAGTTTAGTTTAATTAAATGAGAAAATATTCAGATTTTTTTTTTTACACACAGATAATTACAGGTGATTTTCTGAACTGTTTGATTCTTGGTATTTTTTCTGTTAGTTCTTCTGTTTTATGGGTTCAGTCTTCTGGCAGCAAAACAAAAGCAGTGTTTTCAACTTTGACTTAAGTTCTAGTATTTGATTTTTGTAGAGCAATATATTCTATGATAAATCATATTATATGAATCAATGTACATCTCAAACTGAAATATGTTTTTAAAGCATATATGGTAAAGTTCTGTTTAAGTCTGTGGACTGTTCTCTTTTTCCAAAGAGTAATGAACCTCATGAGACGATGCCAATTGCTGCCTTTGGACAAAAACAACGACCCTCTCGATTTTTCATGACCCCACCACGGTTACATTATACTCCTCCTCTCCAGTCACCTATTACGGTAAATGATTGTTTGGGAATGTCATCAGTAATTTAAATGGTTATTATTAATGCAGACTGTGTTTGTGTGACATACACATTTATTATACCAACTTCAGAAGATACCCAGAATATTTTGAGTTGTCAGATATTAAATAAGTAAATAATTGCCTCCACTCTGGAAATATTTTCCTTTTGGTAGTATTTTTAATATTATATTAGTTACATTAGAATTTTTTTTTATCTAAACCTAAGATATTTCTTTAAAATGACCAATATTTAAATATTCTCTTTTATTCTCCTAGGATAATGATCCTTTATTAGGACAGTCGCCTTGGAGAAATAAAATTTCTGGCTCTGACACTGAAACATTAGGTGGCTTTCCAGTAGAATTCCTTATCCAAGTGGTAAGAATTGCTCTATCTTGGGTGTCAGAAATATCAATTAATATTTTATGTTATTAAAGTTGCAATTTTTTCTACAACCAAGTATTCTTACATACTGTTCTTTTACTATTTTGTTGGTTTTAAAAACTCTGTTATTTTTAGCATAGCTAGAAAATAAAAGTTACCACATCCAAAAAAAGATTCGGAAGCTTTCTGTTAGATATTTATTTGGCATTGTTTTCTTATTATTTTGCTATTTTTAAGGATTCATATGTTCTAGCATATATTCTGTAAAACTGAATAGTTAGCTGTTCATAACTTGTATGGTAAGAAGGCTTTTATTTAATATTACTTAATAACCTTAACTCATTAACAGTTTTGATGTCTGCACTAGGTATATAGTTACAAGGAATTCTTTCTTTTACTGAGACTAGAAACAGATAATCACTTGCTAAATATTTTGTGATTTATTTTATGATTAGACACTAAGAAGTCTAAGTTGAAATTAGTTTAGAAATATAGTGTTTTTCTGAGAACTAGAGCAAGCGTGCCATGCATTATATTATTATTATTTTAACAATATAATGAATTATTTTGAAAATTAGATTAAATAAGTTGCTTAGTTTTAATCATAGTCTAGTAATGCTTTACTTGTTTCTTTTCCTTTTTTAAAAGAAAAACTACTTTAGCTTAGTATATATGGAATCCCCCCCAAAAAAATAACAAACCTATTACCATCCATTCAATTCCAGCTCATGGTGACAGAATGTTTATAACACAATTCATTTAAATATTCACCAGTGTTTACCTTTTACAGGTGGTATATTTTGAGGAAAGTCTTATCATTTGTGTGTATGTGTGTGCTTGTTTCTCAGTTATACATTGTTAATGATTCTTGCAATAAGAATTTCTTATACTTATGCCTTTTGCCTTCCAAAGATAAATATTTTTATATGAAAGGCTGATATGGGAAAAGAACCAAGGTTAGTCCTTCTCACAAATAGGATACCTTTTTTCTTTTTACGAATTTCTTTTAAATAGTAGAAGTGAAAACAAAATAGACTCAAAAACTCATTGCCCTCGAGTCAAATCTGACTCAGTGACCCTTCCTTGGGTTTCTGAGGCGGTATCACTACAGAAGTAGATTGCCCAATCTTCCTTCTGAGGAGTGGCTGGTGGGTTTGAAACACCAGCCTTCTGGTAAGCAGTCAGATACCTTAGGCACTACACCACCTGAGCTCCTGAAAACATAACTAGTAAGTCATACTTGTATGGGTAAGGGGTGTTTGTGTGTGTGTGTGTGTGTGTGTGTATGTAAATAATATGTATGTATGTATGTATGGGAGAGAATTCACCACCAGAGGGAGGTAGAAGCTAAGTGCTGCATTGTTTCTAAAATAGTGCCCCTACTAAGGGAAACCCAAGGAGGGGTCACTATGAGTAGAGTCCAACTCAATGGCAAATAACAACAACAAGGAGCTCTAGTAGCATAGTGCCTAAGGCACTTGACTGCTAACCAGTAAGCTGGCAGTTCAAACCCACGAGCCACTCCTCGAATGGAAGATGGAACAATCTACTTCCGTAGTGATACTGCCTCAGAAACCTAAGGAAGTGTCACGAGGAGTTGGATCCAACTCAAAGGCAGTAAGTATACTCTTCATAAGGAGCCCTGGTGGCACGGTGATTAAAGTGCTCAACTGCTAACCAGAAGGTCAGCAGCTCAAACCCACCAGCTGCTCTGTAGAGGAAAAATGTGGCAGTCTGCTTCTGTAGATACTTATAGCCTTGGAAACCCTATAGGGCAGTTCTGCTCTGTCATGCAGGGTCCTCATGAGTTGGTAGTTGACTTGACAGCAGTGAGTTACATTTTCGATAGGAGACCTGGTGGCACAGTGATTAAAGACTCTACTGCTAGCTCAAAGGCCGGCGGTTCAAACCCACCAGCTGCTCCATGGGATAAAGTGTCGCATTCTGCTTCTGTAAAGATTTACAGCTTTGGAAACGCTATGAATCAGTTCTACTCTGTACTGTAAGCTCACTCTAAGTTGGAATTGACTCATTGGTAATGGGTTTGGTTTTTTGGTTTTATACTCTTGATATTTTTATTCATGCTTACATGTTTGCTTTTCATGCTTAATTTTAGTTTCATAATCTATGCAATTAAGGTATCTAAGAGGTTTTTTTTTTTTTTTTAAATGTACTTGCCTTTTGTAATATATAAGGGTTTACAGGGGGACCCTGATGGCACAGTGGTTAAAACTCTTGGCTGCTAACTGAAAGGTCAGCAGTTTGAACCTACTTGCCACTCTGTGGGAGAAAGATCTGGCACCTTGCTTTAGTGAAAACCTACAGGTTTGGAAACCCTACGGAGCTGTTCTAGTCTGTCCTACAGGGTCATTAAGTGTTGCAATAGACTCAACAACAGTGGGTTTGGTTTTCTGGGTTAAGGTTTTACAAAATGTTGTTTTACTCTTGTTAATATTAAGCTTTGAAGTAGACGGGCATGTTTTTGTCATTTTTCCTTCTTATGTTCCTCATGACAAAACAAATACCATTCTTTTTCTTCTTTTTCTTTTTTTTTTTTTTGCAAAGTCTTATAATTCATGGTTAAGTGCTTGACTGCTCACCTGAAACAGGCCCTTCAGACCCACCCAGTGGCTCCTCGGGAGAAAGACCCGGCAGTTTTTTCCCATAAAGATTACAGTCTAGGAAGCCTCGGGGAGTTCTCTGTCCCATAGGGTCACTATGGCTTGAAAATTGACTCAACAGGGAGCTAACAACAACAGGGATTTTGAAGAATCTAAAAAACACTGATCCACTCCTTAAAGATAGTCTAGTTTTAAAAAGCATTTAGAAGAAATAGTATCATTTTTCTTTTTAATCCAAAACAAGCAAGGAACCCAGGAAAAACAAACTGAATGAAGGAGGGAGATTGTCACCTTCATCTCAGCCTTCTTTACTGCTTCCCATTCTTAAAAAAAAAAACACACGTATTTCCATAAAATCAACAACCTAGAGAAGAAGGTAGGCCTCTAGGCCTACTGAGCACTGTATAAAGGTCTAAATGAACACGTTTGTAACATATCTCACCGAGCCTTCTGCCTGCATCAACTTGGGCCAATTTTTTTTTATTATGGAAAATTTGAAGCATGTGAAAAGGAGACAGACTTATATAATGTGCATCTCTGTACTGATCACCTAGCTACAATAGTTATCAATTCATGGACAGTCTTGTTTCATTTATACTCCCACTCTTTCCTTCCCTCCTCTGTTATTTGGAAACAAATATCAGGTATCTTATCATATATTTGTAAATGTTTCGATGTGTAACCTCTAAGAGATAAGGACTCTATTTTTCAAGGCACTGTAACTATAATACCATTATTATACCTCAAAAAATTAACAAATTTCTTAAGATCATTAGATATCCAGACAGTTCAAATTTTCCAGTTGTCCCTTAAATGTTGAATGTTTTTTTGCCTTATATACCCTATTTGTTAATGAAACTGGATTATTTATCTATAGAGTTTCCCATTATCTGGATTTTGCTGATTAAATCCTTGTGGTATTCAGTATTTTCTTCTGCCTTTGGTAATTGGATCTAGAGTTACCATTAGATTTGGATTTTTTGTTTGGTTGGTTTGTTTTCAGGTGACTATTTTTATTAGTAGTTTTATGTCCTTCTGATACAGACCCATAATACTTTGTTATCTTTTTTGATGATCAATGCCTAGATCTATCCATTCATTAGGATTATAAAATGGTGCTATTCTAGTTCTATCATTCCTTCTCCATTTATTACCTAAAATAGTTCTATAAAGAAAAACTTGCCCTGGCCAATTATTTGGTTACCTGATGGTATACTTTGTATAGGAAAGTTAGCATAAATTCTTGGTTCTTTTTGTTTTCCAAGAAACAAAAAGAAAATATATTTGTAAATAATTATAAAATAAATAGTTTAGTCCCTAATATTCTCCACTAATAGATGTATTTTTTTTAATATCATTATGAACTCATGGGTTTTAACATATTTATGCTTCCATTTTTTGCAATTACTGTTCTTATTGCTGGGTGAATTACCTCATTGTTGGCCAGTGGGAGCCTGTTCAGATTAACTCTTCAGTCCTTTTAACATGTCTTGGTTATAATGCATTTTAGAATAATATTTTCCTGATAGCCAATCAGATTTATGAAAATAAAATATCTTGCTATATTTATATTTAAACACTAAAATTTACTGTTAAAATCGGTGAAGAATTGGAAATTTGATGTCTCACTAACATACTTAAATGCCTCTGTTTATTCTAAAACATTTTTTCTTTGTAGACTAAGTTATCGAAAATTCTCATGATTAAAAAGGAGCACATCAAGAAATTAAGAGAAATGAATACAGAAGCAGAAAAATTGGTAAGAAAAATTTTTTCTTTATGTGTCTAATTTAGAATGATGGGGCTTTCTGTATAAGGATTTTAAAATACTTATCTTGATATATTATTTTTAAATTTTTATTCACTATCATTCTCTCTCAAGGAGCTCTGGTGGTGCAATGGTTAAAGCATTCAGCTGCTAACCCAAAGGTCAATGGTTTGAACCCATCATCCAGTGTGTGGGACACAGATGAGGCAGTCTGCTTCTGCAAAGATTTACAGCCTTGGAGGAAACCCTGTGGAGTGTTACTCTGTCCTGTAGGGTCACTATGAGTTGGAGTCGACTTTATAGCAGTAGTTTTGTGTTTTTTTTTTTAATCACTATCTCTCATCGTACCAAACACATTCTAAGTAAATTAACAAACAGTACAATTTATTCCCCAGCCTTTGCACAATGCCATTTACTTTACAGTTGAGTGGGATTAATGGGTATATTAGGTTCTTTGGCTGTTATGTAGAGTGGAGGATCCCGAGGACTGATGCCTTTTCCTGAGGATGTCATAGAGACTGAGATTATAAAAAGTGATTCAGAATATGTAAATCAGGAAATATCTAAATTGTCATCTTGGTAATCTTGCTAGAGTTTATCTTCTATTTTATTAATCTAATGATTCTAAAAATGTTAGTGTTGCTTTTATTCATAGGAAAGAACTATTGGTGTTTTTATAAACTATTTATAAAGAAAATATTCATTGAAGTCTTTGTGGTATAGTGAAACTCACATCTTGCTAGTGAATTTATAAGATGACAGGTTGAATCTTAAGTATCATCTTGGATTGATTGAAAATGACTGTCTAGAAATATTAAATTAAGGGAGGGCTCAGTGACTGAGTTCTGCTGGAAGAGGTAACTGATAGATGACATTAGTGCAGAAATGGGGAGTAGTAGCACTAGACATCTCTAGTATGGAATTATGTAAGGGTATTGGTATGGGTAAAGAACTGGACACTAGATAACTAACTGAAAGAGGAACAATCCTCTTTTAGGAGGCATCTTTTAAAAGACTAGTAAAAGATGAGTAACTACCACACTAATAGAGAAGGTATATGGGGAATGGGACAATAAAAATATTCACTCAATACCCCCCAACAAAACCCACTGCCATCAAGTTGATTCTGACTCATATCAGCCCCTATAGTACAGAGTAAACTTGCCCTATAGGGTTTCTAAAACTAAATGTTTACGGAAACAGGCTGATTCATCTTGATCCCATAAGGTGTGTTTTAGTTCTCTAGTGCTGCTCTAACAGTAAAATACCACAGATGTATGGCTTGAACAAACAGATATTTATTCTCTTACAGTTTGGGAGGCTAGAAATCTGAATTCAAAGTCCAACCTTTAGGGGCTGAGTGAAGACCCCTCAGCCTTGGGCTTCAGCTCTGCCTCTTGCTCCCAGCCCACTGAAGCTAAAATCTTCTCTTTGCTTAAGACGGCTGCTAGGCTGCTGAGGCTGACAAATCCAAGGTTGACAAGTAAAATGGCATAGTGCCAAAATTGTCAGGCAGCACAGCAAGCCACTAATTCAAGTCCATTAACAGTCTAAGATCGGCAGATAACATGGCAGGCTGTTGAGATGAAGACTTGGCCAAATGCAGGGTCCAAGTGTGCAAAAAGCCATGACTTTCCTCAAACTTGCTTCTTATGCACTGGAAGCAGACCACATCCTTAAGGCAGCTACTCAGCTGCTCACAGTAGATTCCACCATGGAGTTTATTACCAGTCTCATCATGGGGAATACTATATCCAGTTGAGCAACTCAAGATCCAGCCCAGCCAAATTGACACACACCTTAACTACCATAGGTTGCCTAGTACATTCAACTGCTGATCTTTTGGTTAGCAGCCCAGTGCTTTAACCACAGCATCACCAGAGCTCCTTTACTCAATAAAAAAGGAGGCAAGAAAACAGAAAAAATAACACAGAACAGGTAGAAAAATGAAATAGTAAGATGATAGATTCATTATCTAAATATATGGGTGATAATATTAAATATAAGGAACCCTGGTTGTACACTGGTTAAAGGGCTCAGCTGCACACCTAAAGGTCAGTAGTTCAAACCCACCAGTGGCTCCTCAGGAAAAAGACCTGGCGATATGCACTCACAAATATTACAGCCTAGGAAACACTATGGGACAGTTCAACACTGTCCTATAGGGTCACTGTGAGTTGGAGTCTACTCAAGGAAATGACAATACTAAATGTAAAAAAAAAAATACAAACTAGTTAATTCTGTCAAGCTGATTTTGAGTCATGACAACCCCATGTGTGCAGAGTAGAGCTGTATACTCTATAGAGATTTCAAGGTTCTGACCTTTCAGAAGCAGTTTGCCAGACCTTTCTTCTAAGGTGCCTCTGGGTGGGTTCAAACTGTAAGCCTTTTGGTTAGTAGCTGAGCACTTAACTGTTTGTGCCACCCATGGACTTCCTATATTAAATATAAATGGGCTGAATTTTTTTGTTAAAAGAGAATGATTGTCCATTTGGAGGAAAAAAAAAGGGTGGGGAAACCAGGTTTGCTGGTCCGATAGAGCCTGGTGGAACCACTGAGACTATGGCCCCCAGCCGCCCTTCAGGTCTGGAATTGAACCCGCACCTGTGGCTACCAGCCAAGCAAAAGACAGGCATACGAGTTGAACATTTACCTGAGGTAGATATACTCCTTGGAGAAAACAATCATGGGAGACAGCTCAGGGGGCAGGAGTGCATGGAGCGATGGACACAGGGAAGAAGTAATTATCAGGAGGAAGTAGGAGGGGAGCTGTTGCATTGTGGTAAATTGTGGTCAGTGTCATGAGACAAAGTATATGTGAACTGCTGTATGGAAAGTGAATTTGCTCTGTAAATCTTCACCCAAATGACAATTAAAAAAAAAGAAAAAGTTATTTAGGACATAAAATCAACAGGCCTAAACAACTGATAGACTGTTATGGGGATCAGATAAAAAAGAGAATGATTGTCTAACAGGATAAAAAAATAAAATGCAACTCTATAATGCTTGTTATATACTCATTTAATATAAAAGGATCCAGAAAGAATAAAATTAAAAATCTATAAAAAGATAATGTACTACAGAGTTTAAAAATAACAAAAGAAGCTCTTTGTAGCTATATTAATATCTGACAAAGTAAAATTCAGGGCAACAAATATAACTGAATATAAGTGGACACTTCATAATAATGAAAGGTTTAATTCACCAAGAGGAAATAATAATTCAAAATTTACACATAATAACTTAGCCTCAAAATATAAATCAAAAATTGACAAAACTGAAAAGAAAAAGATTCAAATTATAGTGGGACAGTTTCCATAGCTCTTTTAGTAACTAATAGAATAAGCAAACACAAAAAAAAATTAATAAGGATATAAAAGATGTGAAAAACATAGTTAACAAACAGTCTCATTGGCATGTGTAGAATATTATACTTGACAACTGCAGAATAACCATTATTTTCAAGCACATATGAAATATTTATAAAAATTGATTGTATGCTGCTCTAGAAGAAGATTCAACAAATTTGAAATGTTTGGAATTCTCCAGAATATGTTCTCTGGCCACAGTGTAAATGAGTTGGAAATTAATGTCAAAAGATACATAGAAAAAACTTTTAAACTTGAAAGTTAAAGCATATACTTCTAAATAAGCCACAGTCAAAAAACAAATTATAAGAGAAAGTTAGAAATATTTTGAATTTAATAATAGTAAAAATTATATATATCGTATACATCATGGCAGGCAGCCATGCCTATATTAGAATAAAAACATGTCTGAATTTGAAGAAAGGCTGAAAATCAGTGAGTTGGGCATCTATCTCAAAGAATTAGACAAAGAACTACATATTAAATCTAATTAAGGAACCCTGGTGGTTAAAGTACTTGGCTGTTAACTCAAAGATCAGTGGTTCAAACCCACCACCACTCCATGGGGAAAAGATGTGATGGTCTGCTTCTGTAAAGATGGCAGCCTTGGAAACCCTATGGGGCAGTTTTACTCTCTCTTATAGGGTTGGTATGAGTCAGAATTGACCCAATGGCAATGGGTTTGGTGTGTGTGTGTGGGGGGGGTATTTGTTTTTTAAATTTAATCTCAAGAAGAAATTAATAAAATAGAAAAATCTAAGAGAGAATCAGCAAAGTGAAAAGTTAGTTCTTTAGAAGAACTAAAGAAGTTGATAAAACTGACAACACCCACCCAGAAAAGTAATTGAAAGGTACAAATATGTCATCACGTGTATTAATCATCATTTGTTGTCTGCTGTCGTTGGTTCTCTGTGTGAAGTACTACCTTTAGCATCTCTTATAAGGTTGATATGGTTTTAACAAATTCCCTTCATTTCTGTTTATCAGGAAATGCCCTAATTTCACCATCATATTTGAGGGACAATTTTGCTGTGTATATAATTCTTAGTTGGACATTTTTTTCTTTCAGGCTTTTATATATATCCTCCCATTGCCTTCTCGACAGCCTGGTTTCTGCCAAGAAATCAGAGCTTAGTCTTACTGGTTGCCCTTTGTAGGTAACTTCTCACTTTTCCAGTGCTGTTTTCAGGATTCTCTCTTTATCTTTGGTTTTGGTGAGTCTGATGATGATATGTCTTGGTGATTTTCTTTTGGGGGCTATCTTGTTTGGGTTTTGTTGAATTTCTTGGATTTGTTGAATATCTTCTTGTCTTTTGTCATATTAGGGAAATTATCTTCCAACAAATCTTCAGCAATTTTCTCTGTGGTTTTATTTGTATCATCTTGTTCTGGAATACCGATTATACGATTATTCCTCCTGATGTATCCCACATGAATCTTAGGCTTTCTTCATTTTGTTTTGATCTTTTTTCTTACTGATCCCTTAACATAGCAGTATTGAGGTGTTTGTCTTTAGTCTCATTAACTTTATCTTCCATTGATTTGATTCTACTCTTTTTTCTGTTCAGTGTGTGATCTGTTTCTGAAATCTCCCTATTAATCTTCTGGATTTCTTTTTGTTGT